ACCAGCACGCACCAACACACATATACACGTACACACACAAACACGCATAGACACATACACACACACACACACACACACACACACACACACACACACACACATACACACACACATACACTGCCAAACGCTGACACCTATTATAAAGTATAGACACCGTTTAAAAGATTTAACATTGAAACATTATCAAACAGACATCGTTTAAAAGATTTAACAGTAAAGACATGATTAAAGAGACACAGTAGACCACAAAAAGATATTACAGTATAATCATGAAGAAAGCATATTATTCTGAACATCACGTGCAACGTGCATAATATGAACTATAATAATACAGTTTTGTTGGGGGGGTTTTCCCGTTAAAATACTCCCCTAGTTCATTTTCAAACGTCACATTGTGAGATTAACTTCCACACTGTAACTTTAAATATCGTATTGTAAGATAAACTTCCACACTGTAACTTCAAATGTCATATTGTAAGATAAACTTTCACACTGTAACTTCAGGCAACGTTTCAATATGCCTTCATGTGCTTGCAACTTTCATATCAATAAATGTTAACTCACTTCAAAGTTCAAATATCCCTTTGCAACTTCAAGCGTTCTCTAAACTCTTGCTGTTCTCTTAACGCTTCTTTCGCGATGACACCATAATATTGGAGCTTACGTTGAAAGAGAAACTCTAGAGTAGATCTAGAGATCAGTACCCTTGAAAAATTACCATAATGCCACCCCAACATTAACATACTAGTCGAGAAGACGAAGAACCTCTTTCTGAATCACAGGAGAGAGTAGGGGATTTCATGGAGCTTGCCTTCAGGAGCATGCAGGTCTATTTCGCGTCGTATTCCGCTAAGATACGATATTTTCGAGTAAATAAACAGAAAACTATACTTTTGTTTATCATAAACTGTCGGCCTTTGTCCGTATTGTTGCCTCTGAGTCCCTTCCCCCTTTATGTTAATTTACATTTGAAGTTGCTATTTGGCATTCAGGTTGTGATTTTGTTACATTTGAAGGTTATATGTTCCCATTTGAGCATTCCATGATTTTGTTTGAGGTTAATTCGTGGCATTTAAAGTTATATTGTGACATTTGAAGTTACAAAATTAGCCAGTTGAAGATAAAATCTGACAACTGAGGTGATAATGTGACAATTAAAGTTACAATGTGACAATTGAAAGTGACAATTAAAGTTCAGTTCAATGTGGCAACTGAAGTTAGAGTGTTGCAACTGCAGTTAAGTGTGGTAATGAAAGTTGCAATGTGACAATTAAAGTTACAATGTGACAATTACAGTTGCAATGTGACAATTAAAGTTATAATGTGACAATTAAAGTTACAATGTGACAATTAAGGTTACAATGTGACAATTAAAGTTACAAATGTGGCAACTAGATTAGAAACACTTGGCGTGTATTAGATCGGAACAAACCTATATAATACACTGGTATTAAACATATTGAATAGAAGTGGAGGTATTTGCGATCCAAGGAGGAGGGGTCGCTTGCTGTCAGAGGTATAATTAGCAAAAAATGGCCATCGAAGTTCGGTAGCTTCCAAAGCTTGAATGTCGGTGGGAATTGAAAATGTACATTATTTGTGCCTTTCATCAACGTTTTACAGTATAATCACATGGAAATAATTATGTTCTTAAAAAGACATAAAAGATGCTGAGAAAAA